CATTAGAGAATGTTGTGTTTTATTCCTCTTCACAATGACATTTCCAGCATATACCTATATTAAATCAGGTATGACAAGATATGGTATTGAAGTGTTCGTGCTTAATATGCAGAGGGTGCCAAAAGGTGTATACATATTTTAAGAAAGGAAAGAACTATTAAAATTGTAATACTCAATATATACTGATAACAAAAGATGAATGCAAGTCACGTTTGACTCCTGCAATTACAAGAGGTGCTCAAAGCGGTTACCATCAGCATAATTTTAATACAGGTTTTTCCTTTCTTAAAATGTGTATACATTTTTGGCACCCTCTGTAGTGAATGTTTAAATCATCCTTTTATATAAGAATATGACCTGCAGTGTCAAATTGGAAGCCAATAGAAACACGGAGACAAGGAATATAAACTTTTTTTTTCTTGCCTGAGGAAAGGTTTGGAATTAAACCCTAAAACCAAGTCTTATTTTTTTTTATGTAAGCCTGCAGATGTATAATGTATATACAATATACACAGGGTTTATAATGGAAACATTCAAGAGTCAGTGCATTTAATTTCATTTATCATCTTAACGGCTTTCTTCCCAAACTAAATTGTCTCTGAAAATATTTCTAGCAATGTTATTACTTTTAATGTTTCCTTTTTGATGCTCAGTACACTTTACAATACCTCATTAAAATGAAGTATAGAAGCGTGTTCTTCATCAGCTGTGATAAGTGATAGTTGCTTTACCATGAACTCTGGGGTCTTCCATCAGTTTTCAGGAGGAAAAGCCAGTTTTCCGAACCTGGGCATCCAAGTTATAAATAAGTATTTGTAAAGTACAAACCTTAACAGTCTTTTTTGTGCTTAAGCTGCTAGGAACCTGCAAAATTCCACCTTCTATGAAAGTCCTATGCCACCAAAACCCTTTACCTCTGTGTCCTTCTGATAGGTGATGTTGCTGTCATCTCTATTTTGAAAAGCAAGTTCTCATGTTCACCAGAGAGCTAGATCTGAATTTTTAGGTTAAAGTGCAGTTGAATGGAGAAAAGAGACAGCCAGAAGCTTGGGACGATTTGGGAGTTACTATCAAAAGGTTTTACTTTATTTGATCATATGCTTTGTACTCTAGCATTTAGAGATAAAAGAAAATTGAGGTCATAGTTCACTACAGAAGGGAAGTGAAGGTAAATGAATTAAATGTTTCTTAGTAAAAAAAAAATGTACCTGCAGAAGCAATGCCACACTCAGTAGGGTGTGCCTTAGTGAATTTAAAATTAATAATTTTCCTACTCCAGATTATAGCATGAACAAGAAAACGCACTCGCTCATTTCGCTATCAAGTCTGGGTTTTGAGTTCCTGTCCATGCAGCTGTGATAAATTAATTGAGGGTACACTTTATAGCAACTGGATAAATGTCTACATCATCAGGAAAAGTGCTGTGGTCACCCTGGGGAGCGAATGCCACATCTTTTATGATTGAAGTGGGGCTCTCAACTGTCATCAATCGTGAG